GAACGTCGAAATCAAAACTAGTATTACCGACTCCGAAATAAGAAATGTGAAGCGAAAGCCGACTTAATAGATGTTTTCAATAGAGACATAACATTTTTGTATTTCAATAAAACAGAATAATTGAGAGACATGTTACATGTACTGCCTCCGTGGCCGAATGGTTATCATGCTGATCTGCCACGCAGAGGTCCCGGGTTCGATTCCCGGGCCGGGAGAAATGTTTGTTTGGCCTACATTTATTTCTATGGGAGTTTGAGTGTAATTTGTAGAGTTCTATGTGTGTGTCCATGTCACCAGCGACACAAGGTATCCCTAGTGCGGGGCAATGTAGAGTGTGTGCGTTATTATAATTTAAAAAAGCAAAATTGAGGATATATATACACACTGACTACAATACGATGTGAAAACACGATTCCTAGAAATTTTCACAATACAAATAAACACAAACTTACATCGAAATTTTATAAGAAAACTGCTGTATTCAATAGGTACTGTACATAATATATCAATGATTTTTTTTATATGAACTGAACTAAATAGCACACATATAGGTACTATACGATATTTTCAAAAGGCTTTAACTTCATCTGTAAAAAATAAATTCTGAAATAAAGGCACATTCCCTGCCGCTCGACCCAAGCAAAATGAACCGGTGAAATCCATCGACTATAAAACCAGAAATAGAGACGAAATGTCATTTAATTTGTTTGAAAACTATTCTGCCAAATCATTACGGTGACAACTGCGTTCCGATTGGCCAGCCCAAATTCGAAACAATTAACGGGTGTCGTCAATTGTTTCACTTCAAATCGATCAATTTAGCTTTGCCATAATGGATGAAAATTGAAAAACTACATATTTAATATTTAATTACCGATGAAATGTGATTCCGTTTGTTTTGTAATTAGATGTTTTGCTGTTTTTACTACACCACCGAATGGAACAGCCCCCATAGTTAAGAGACATTATTTTTATTACAATAAATACAGAATATTTTTGGAATATACGGAGACGTTCACACAGGTCAGTTGTTGGCGCTGTACTATTTCAGCTTTCTAATTTGTCATTTCAGCGCAAACGAGAGTTGATATTTAAAAGTGACATGAGTTGCCAGGCATGGATGGCCCTTATATCGTCTATATTTCCGGTTATATACTCGATGATGAAATCCATTAAGCCGAAGTCATCACCAATGTTGCCACACTTAGAAGTGGAATATTTTCTTCAAATTTTAACAAAAAGAATCATCGAAATCAGTTTACAAATTGTCGGAGTAATCGCGTAAAATACACAATAATAGAACACAATCGAATCTTGATCTTGCTGGACCACGTATACACTTCATCAAAAAATAATTAGGACAACCTTTGTTTAAATTTAAATCTGTATAATACGCTTTCATTTTCGGTCAGCTTCAATAATGGCAAGCTCTTCCTCTTAGCTGTGGCACCTAAATTTAAATTCTGCTATTATTTCGAACACGAAAGATATTTGTATTTTAACTTAACAACATTACCAACTTAGAAAAAACTTGTCCGGTAGCCGAGGGTCGGTTGCCACGGAAGACAATATCCGGTATCCGGCTAACCCCTTTTATTTAAATTCCCGATAAAGTTATTCGCTTCATTTCGTTTAAACGACGTGCGAGAATATAAATCGATTATTAAAAAGATTATTTCTGTTCGTCGGATGGGTGGTCGGATTATGAAAATAATGTAATTGTTTTTTTTTTGACAAGTACAAATCAATGGCTTTCTAGAATAGCAATCTATTTCAATAAACATGTAATTCATCTATTGGCGCGCAAATTCAACGAAACACAATATACTAGCCCAAATATTCCACGTAATTTGATTTTTTATTAATGGGAGATTGGTGTCAATTCCACAAAAAAAAAATTAAAATAGCCAGAGAATTCACCTAAATTTAAAAGAACTTGTACATATTAACTAAAAATAAAAAAAAGAACTTATACATACATACAGTGGTTAATACCTCCGTCTGACAAAAGTAGTGTCAATAGTGCGAAGATGACATTCCGACATTAGCAAACGTCGGTGATTTCTAGAAAGGGCAAAAGCGACATTTCGTAGATTTTTAACCGACTTCAAAAAAGGAGGAAATTCTCAATTCGACTGTATTTTTTTTTGTGTGTATGTTACACGATTACCATTGTATGAATCGATTTTGACAATTCTTTTTTTGTTATAGAGATGGTACTTCATGGTATGGTAGTATTCGTCCCATTTAAATTAACCGATTCCAAAAAAAAATTAGCAAATTAGTGTGATTCCAATAAAAAAGCCGATAAGCAAACTTTTGAGGTCAGTTTTTTTAAACAAAAAATATATAATAATCGAGAGAGGATGTTTTAAGTTCTAATGGCTGTTTTAAAATATTTACATCTTATTTTAAAATTAAATTTTATAACTTAACCTTAATTAAAGCCAATATAAAATAATTAAACAGCACGAAAATATTTTAAAATCATTAAAAGTCGTTAAAATCTATTACAAGCGCTCGTGAAAAATCTACGAATTATCGCTTACGCCTTTTCGACAAAACACCGACGTAACGTTCAATATTACTGCAAACGTACGAGGACCGTAAAACATCATTACAAGCATTTGCACAGATTAAATCACGACTTTTTTTAGTGCAATAAGATCCAAGCTAAGGACTGTGATTCTGGAGCTTGAGGATTGGAGCCGCTAGAATAAAATAACAACAGGGAGGACAGTAAAACACTCTCATAACTTTTTACCGACAGAAATCTACTTTTTTGAGACTGAATCGACCAAATGGCGAGTTTTAGATGTCTAATTTGTTGTAAAAATTCACGCACGCTAGAATAAGGGACGCTATTTGTATTTCTAATCTTTGACCGGGCACAGTACAACTTGTTACTTTATGCTTTAGTTTGTTGTTTGTCCATGATTGTTTTGACGACAGCAGTTCGTGAAAGGAGTTCTTCCAAAAATAAATACCTTGCAGCTGCCTAAACGTTGGCGTTCTTGATCAATATTAACTAACAACATACATCGAAACTGACACAGGCTCAAGCTTACTGGGCGCCATTAAGGAAATAATAATTACTTCTACATATAAAATAAGTTATGACTAATAAGGTTTAAACAAAAGAGGTTAAAAGTGGTTGTAATAAATACTTTAATTTAAACATAATTCGGTTTCATCTTACAATATTAACATATCGAGTAAGTTTTATATTTTTTAAGGCCAGAGAAATTCGGTATTCCAAAAACAAATATTCGAATTTGGAAATATTTTTGAATATCGATTTAATAAAGGCGTAATGGTACTTTTTTCAAATAACGGTTTTGGTACATTGAATGCTTAAGGTGTCTAGACACTTCAGTGTTAATTTTAGGTTGATTTCAGAGAAACACTTACGGATGTAAAGGTACGGTTCCGCAGATAGGTTTCACATTTTAAGAATAAGAGACAATTAGGTTCAGATTTATGAACAGAACTTGACTTCGCCTAAGCAAAAACGAACAAAACGAACTTGACCTAAGTTTAAGCAAGAAAGTTTAATATTTCTTGCTTAAACTTAGGCAAAATTCGTTTTGTGAATACGAAAAATTCGTTTAACTCGCCATTTTTGCTTAGTCTAAGTCAAAGTTCGTTATATAAATGACAAACTAAGTTCCACTGAAAAGTAACTTTAGGCTCAATTCCTTCAATGGAAGTTTTGAAACACAATGTTATTTCTCTGGCCAATTTCTAATAAGATTTTCCTATTTTTATAACACAATTTTCTTTTTATATCTAACAACAATAAGTAACTTCAATAAGCTTTTAGGCATCTTTCTTACCACATGCAAAAATAAAATAAAATTTCGTTTATAACAGGAAAACTTATTTTTTACTTTCTCTTTTTTATGGCAACACAGATGCCCAAAGGTTTTAAGGTAACATTATGATAGCACCAGCTGTTTTGGGCTCAAAAACTCAGCAGAGCCGAAATTCTTAATAGTGTAAAACAGTTATTTAAGTTGAAACCTGCACAGGTTATTAAGTACCTAAAAGGAAAAGCGTACGTTCTACCAAGTAGTTGTATGTGGCCATTGTAACTCATTTGAAGTAATGTCGAATCAACATAAGTTTATATTTACCGAATGCCGTAAGCCATCATAGCTCTGTTTAAATTGGACGTACATTATAAATCTAATTTAGTATGAGTTTACCTGCTTGATACAACATACGCCTTAAAAACTGTAAGTACGATTACTGTATTACCCTATAAAGAAGTTTGTGACAAATTAAACATATACGCATTAAAAGGAATGTTATAATTAAAAATACTGGTTAAATGATTATGGTAAGGGCTGAAGCAAATGCACCGCACGCAACGTATTGAATGACCTCATTAAAAAACTAAGCTGATATCATTGTCAGACTTAAGAACCGCGTCCGTGTGCGGATCACATATATTACACTCATGGACCTAATTATTGAGATTTTTACACACTGCACGTGTTACTGGGTGGGTGTTTACCATTATTGTACATAGGAGTAAGTATGAAAAACTTTCTATAATTTAAAAAAATATGTTTTCCGTTTTTAATATAACAATTTATAATTTTACACGTCACTGCATTCATATGACAAGAGTATATATAAAATAGATTTTAATAGTTTTGGTATCTATAAATATAAATAAGCAATTACTGGTAAAAAAAAATCATTATATACGATTTTTATTTATAAATAATAAATAAATTAAATAAATTACTATAAAATATATAAATAGAAAAGCAATTATTATAAACAAGTGTTGTTTTTAGAAGATACTAATATTTAGCAGTAGACTGTTACAAGCTAATGCATGGGCAAAAGAAACAAAAATAAATTAAGTAAGTAAAAAATAGGGCCTCACAACCTTACCTTTTAAATTTTTAATTAACAATAATTTAATTTTTATTACATAAGATAAGCCGTAACGCAATTTAAAAATAAATTTAAAAAATGAGATGCAATACGAGCGTTAATAAAAACAATAATTGAATTTTAAGCATTCCGACCTTCGTTCTAAAAAAAGGCCTATAGTGTTTTAAAACAGTACAATGACAACGCTATCTACAAAAAGGATAACTGAGTCGCTTAATGTGATATCTCCAATATTGATAAACGAAATTTCACAAAATAGTTTACTGCTATTTTGTCACAATTAACCTAAAAACTATACGACTTTACATAGCACACTATTTGTCTAAGAAGCTGTATGTGTGTAAATAATATTGTTTTATATTTGCGATGAAATATAAGCAAGTTCCATTGTCCTGTCCTTGAAATTGTGACTTCAGTATTTTTGAAATTAACTTTCACGGAGTCGTTAACGACCCATAGTCTGACATTTACAAAACCAACTTTGACTTCGATCTAAGCAAGTTTCTCGTGTTTATAAAACGAACTTTGCGTAAATTTGAACAAGAAATTACGAACTCAAACTTTAGGTAAGTTGGTTTCGTAATCACGAAAAGTTTGTTTAGATCGCCACTTTAGTCGAAATCAAAGTCCGTTCTATGAATAGCAAACTAAGTCTTTATATAATACCGCAACATTTTAAAACACTGAATTTAACGACCTGAAACTGTAAAATTAACATACTTTGTGCAATTTACTAATGAATTGCCGAAATTGAATTCTGGCAACACAGAGCTTTATTTTTAGGCAACACACATTAAGCTTAACAATGATTATTTTAAAAGGTGGTAAATATTAGGGAAAACAAAGAAATGACTATAGGTGTACCAGACTCTCTTAATAATTCAGGATACAGAAAATGGTTAGAAACGCTGTTGTAACTGGAATAAGACATCTTGACATTGGGAGTTTTGACTTGAAATTTTGGTAATTGAAAATTGAAAATATACTTTATTATAAGTAATTACGTATTAATTATGAGACATACATACATATCATCACACCTGTCTCTCTCCGGGGTAGGCAGAGACTATGGACCTTGACTTCCGACGCTCCTGACATAGTATGCAAGAATTATACCTATGACCATCATTATGGTACCCGAGTCACATGAAATATTCATATACTCGTATTTGGATGTGAGTAGATCTGTGTGAAAATAGTTGTTAAACAAAGTTAACATTTAATGTGTGACAGCCCGTTCAAACTAATCGGTTGTCGGCCACGGTCGAAGCTGGTGCCAATTTTTATACTAGGCGAGGCGACTGTGCGCGATAGACGTCGACGAAGTTCTTGTTGTGATATACTATTTGAGAAGAGAACGAATAAAGACAACTAAAGAAAGAAAATATTGGGTGCACCCAATCCTCGAAGAAAAAACAAGGGGTAGCGGGTAGCGGATTGTCGGTCCCAACATCCGACAAATGTGAACATCGTCATACTTACTCATAGGCGAGCGAGATCCAACACGATTTTTTCCGGGCGAAGAGGGCTGGCAAAACACCCGACACATCTTGTAGGTGCCGACACAAAATCGGTTTTAGACAAGTGTGAATAACTTCACATAAAATGCTCTGCCACTGGAACATCTGATTAAAATCCGGGCCCGACAGCAAACAAGTGGGAACGCTCTGAGAAGTAAAATTCGGAAACTACCTTTCGGAAGAATAATGAATGACGTTTTAAGAATCTTTTTAAGCCGATGTGATGTTTTTATATTATTACACTAAGTAAATACAAATTTCAACCAAAAAGTTGCAATTCTTCTACACTTTTCTGTTGCATGCGTAAAAAGGCTCTTGGAACCAAAAAAAACCGGCTAGGGGATGAGGTATTTTATAGGGCATCGAGTGCACTTAACACTAGTCATGTTGGGTTAGAAAAATTCAAATCTGAGAAATGATTTATCACTAACAATTGCCACTTATACATTTCCCAATTTTGTTTGTTTTACCTTTCCAATAGTTTATACATCTTGTTTTGTAGTCTGTGTAATACACTGGCATACTAGCTACTTGCAAGTGAAGCGGGAAGCGGATTGGCTCATGCTAGACTAGTTGATTAATAAATCAAGGTCGATTACCAACTCCAGCAGACACCGGTACTGTATTCAATGTTAATACTATATTGTCGTAGTTGAAGTGTCAAGCTGAATTGATAATATAATTTATTGAAACAACCATTCTATCCTGAGACAACCTGGACACCTCAGCGAAACGCCCTTAAGATATCGCTTATAAAGTTTGACAAGTTAAGATTAAAACTGTGAAATGGGTATTTTTTACTATAGAGCGGTCCCCATTCCGCCTAAATACGTCTCTGTCTACATTTAATAACTAATTCGTAGTGATAGGCATTGCAGCTATAGTCTCCCGTTTTTCACCTAACGTGGCCTTACAGACATATCCCTTGAGCGCGAGGACTCCGCGGCATTTGATGTGGACCTGATATCGAGCGCACCATTCCAAATTGTTGCAACCCACACCCGCATCAGACAAGGTTTTTACTGCCGCTATTGACAGGAGATCTGGAATTGTAAAAACAAATAAAATATATTAGATAGTTTATATTGTAACAAGTTTACAGAGAGTTTAAGGAAGTGGTCTTCTGCAGTTAGCAGTCTGATTAGAACCCCCTCTCATCCTCTTTCGTCCTAAAAAAAAGTCAATGTAACTTTGAATTTCTATCAGTTTAGTTCAGGGGCTCTCAAACTTTTCGTTACGTAAACCACTTACCATTTTTTTTCTGTTTCGCATACAGGGGGTATGCGAAACAGAAAAAAATTGGTAAGTGGTTTCTGTGATTTCTAATATCGATTTTTAACAATGCCATCAATATTTTTGACAGATAACATAGTGCTACTTACTTTGATAAATTTAACTGTATAGTGAGCAACTTTATTAAAAAATCACATGTTATTTTTATACATTTATCTAACCGTTTTTTTGTGTGTTGTGAAATATTTACTGTATGGGTAATTTATATATTCATAATAAGAAAGTAATATGTAAGTATAAGGTACTATGGCATTATTCCGTTTATGGAAAGGCAAAATTTTTGTCAACACCTGTCTAAATGGGTTCCACTCTTGTAGATTACCATTAACGTCTTACGTGTCCCTATTTTTCACTGATATGGAGTCGACTCCTGCGGTCGATACAGACCGCTTTGGGAATGTTCGGTCTAGTCAGTTTGACTTTGTGGTCAGTCAATCTACTGGTCATCTATGGAGGCTGCAGGCAACAAGACTAGTAATAATCGGACAGTCCAGACATCCTGATGGTAAGCTACATGCCTGTCCATAACAGTTGCAGTACCACTCAGAGCTTTAAATCGCAAAGATCTGAGGGGCAACGCCACTGCGCCCGTCACCCTGAGACATAAGTTGAAAAGTGTCATGTGTCTGTAATTTCACCAGCACCCCTTACCCTTCTAAACCGGAACACAGTAATGCGGACATTACTGCTTGGCGGCACAAATATGTGAGGTGGCAGTACTACCCTAGGCAATTTCTTTCACAAGGAGCTCTACTAGGAGGTTGCTTTTCAATGCAGAGATCAATGGTTCGATTATGACGGTCCACAGGGGTGAATTGTACTTTTATTTCTAATTAACAATAATAATGTGCCAAACAACTACATTAATTACTTGTAATGGAACAACGAAATTCACTCCGGGGCATCTACCAGAACACCTAGGCCGGACACAATTCAGAATCATTTCCCAATTTTGTCCTGCTGGAAATCGCATCCGGGACTTCGTCATTCAGCGCCCACAGTGTGCAAACTGTTGGGCCACCGAGGTCATTAATTATTTACGTCCAGCAAAATGTGTCTACGCAACTCCAATAAAAAGAGACAAACATTTTTATTTTCTTTCAATGGCAAGGCAACGCGCGTAGATTACAACTGTCATTGGGTTGAATATTGTGTATCTGTCTATGAAATCTACAAACCCAATAAAAAAATAACATAACATGTTTCCTTACCGGGAGGGTCGCCATGAGTCAGTAATTGGACTTCATTGGCTCGACAGAACGCGTGCAACGAAGGTGGAACGACACAGCACGAGGCGAGATTGATTTGCGCTATGGCCGGGCGGACCCGTGCCCAAGCGTGGAGTTTACGGAGGCACCCACCGCCTACGTCTGCTACGCCGAGTTGGTGTACGCGACCTAGAAAGGGAAAAATACGCAATTCGTAAATATCTTTAAACTACAAATAAAATCTGGCTGAACAATCCAGACGCATACTGGGCCGAAGTCCAGCTGGGCGCCCTAAGGGCTGCTACTTAATTTATTTAGTTATGAGCCTTCAGCTTAATTTACAATGTCTCATGAATGTATGAATCGTATCTAGTCTGTAAGTTACACATATGCAATTTAATTTCAAAAATCTGCTACCATTCTATTCCGAGGCAATATAAAATGAGCTGAGCAGACAACTGTCAAACGTCCTCAAGAAAGTTATGTAAATACTTTTACAAATACGCTTAAATTAGCATCATTTCAGCCGGAAAACGTTCACTGCTGAGCATAGGCCTCCCTTAAAGATCGCAACAACGACTGGTCTTGCACTGCTGACATCCAGCTGATTCCTTCACCATGTGGTTGATCCGCCCATGTTACGTCTTCCCGCACGCGGTCGCCACTCAATAACCCTTTTCAATTACACTTCTTCTTGTCTAATGCTCAAAAAAAAATCCAAAATATTACCTTCTTTGACGTAGTCTTCTAGTATGGCCCATAGGACCTTAATACCAGGCAGTATGGCCTCGCACTTGCGCGCGTCTGCCTCGTTGTCGGCGTCTACTTCGGTGCTCGACATACGAGCTGAAAACATTACACGTTAGTTTACACGACTGTGAGTGCTATACAAGATCTAGAACCAACTTGGTAAATAAACTTTTCTAAATTATATTGAGTATTCTGCTCAAATACTTATCATAGTATAATAATAAAAATAATCCATTTATTTCGCATAACAATGAAGTCATATGCGTTAGTCTGTCTAGTTACATTTTACAATTAATTATCATTCAAATTTACCCAAATAACTATCACTGCTGCGTTAAAATTACCGACTCGCTTATTATGATATTCTTTACACCTAGAGTAGTGTGTAGAATTGCATGAGTAAATGTATAATATACCTTCAATAGGTTTGTTTGCCTAATGGATGACTGGACACTGAAACTACACTTATTTTATTAAATGACAACTTCTAAACAACTTGTGTTTTCACAAGTAAGTTGCACTGTATCAGCTGTGAAAACCAGTTTTGGAGTTGATAAATTTGTAAAAAAATCCATATTACGCAGGGGTCTACGTGAAAGGAAAAAAAGTCATGTTACCCACGAGACATAAATGTTTGGGAACCGCTGGTAAAGATCAAAGACAAAACTGGAAATGCATTACGCGAACACTCGAGCAAACGGTTCTCACCTTGTAAGGTGACATTCTATTCTGTTACTAAAAATTTATGGGCCAAATTACTATGAACAAGTTTTGTTATCTGGACAATAATTACATGTTGTAAAAGCTCTTTGTATTCGTATGAGATATGAAAACCTAAAACGAGATATAGCATTAGACAAGTGCGGTGGTTCAGCGGTAAAACTGTGAGCGATAATAATCATCATCATTCATCAATCAAGAGACCAATATAGGGAACGAACTTTTGTAAATAAGTTCTGGTCTGGGCGCACAGTTAGAAATTTCCTTATTTGAAATAATCTAAAATGTAATTTGAAGTAATGTTTGTATAATAAAAACGATCATTCAATCAATGCTTTAATGAAAAATTAATCATTTTTTATTTTTAAATCAACAAATAAAATCTGAAAATTGAGATATTTTTAATTTGTTTCGAAAACACTAAACACACAACGTGATGTCATACTTCAGTAAGCAAAGAAACGTGACCGTATTCACCATTTGCTTATTAACTTATTATTTTATGCGCTTATAATTTTTTAACTAAAAACTGTATCAACTTTGGATTGAGGAAAGTAGACAATTAAGACGTGAAATTCTCGGAAGTGGCAAGTATGTTGTAGATATTCTAAGGATTCCACGAAGCGTTAGGTTTCCACATATATATAGCGAACGGCTATGGAGTGGAATTCCCTGCCTGCAGACTTGTTCCCTGAACGGTATAACTTGGGCCTTTTCAAGGCGAGAGTAAATAGGCATTATTTAGGAGTGCATGCTCCGTCGTCGACCTCTTCGTCACTTTCCATCAGGTGAGATTGAAGTCAACTGCGCACTTAATTTTTTAATAATAAAAGCACATTGCTTAGTTTGTCAATTCGACTTCATGTTTTTTTTGTATGTATATAACGCGACAATTTTGATTTTGACGATTCTTTTTTTATTGGACAGAGGGTACTTCAGTATTGGTCTCTTTTAAATTTAAAGAAAATATTCCACCTCTAAGGATCGCAGGCTTGGGGATGAATCCGGTTTCGCGCACTTTCCGGTGACCGATTTCAATAAAACTTGGCAAATAGATGTAATACCACTAACTTATGAGGTCGGTCTTTTTAGTGCCCTGTACTGAGATTATCTACATACTAATGACGTTACGCGTTCTACGTGGGGTCGGGCTCGTATAAGAAATGTAATAAATAGTGTGCTCTCTCTAACATTACAGTGCACTAACGGGGCAATGAAATAAATATGAACATAATTGATTTTTTTTTCGTTGCTCCGGTGTTCAATTTTATAATTACTTTACGAACTTCAAATTGTTAAGGGTTATGAAATACTCACCAATATTACTGCCAAGCGAGATAGGCGAAGCTTTTGTGGTATAAGAGGTCTTCAGAGTGGTTTCGTCAGCTATTTCTTCAAGCCGGTGGAGTACATCAGGGTTGTATGCGAGAATCACGTTGTCTATATACTCCGTATGGAGCGCTGTGAAGACTGAAATAGAAAAAAAAGAAACGCACGGTTCAAGGCTTATTTCTCTAAATTTTTCACTATACCTTTAGAGTCTATATATACTACCACAGCTCGAAACCAAAATTTTCCCGTACTAAT